GAGATTTTGTCCCGGCGACCGAAAGATGCTATTGAGAAAACTAATTTTATGGCCATCGTTTGCAAAACCCTTGGAAGAGGAACTACCCTCGACGATAACTCGTTCTACGTTCGTACATCAGTGCTCGTGCTCTTGTGGTGCATGATACGTGAGTGGCACTATGAAGATAGGTATCTCAAGAGATTCGCTAACACAATCAGGCGTGGTTTTACAAAGGTGAAAGTAGATCCCAAAACAGCTTATGTCGCAACTACCGAAATTCTGCCCACAGTCTCTAAACGTTTCTTTCAAGGCTCCCCTAAACAGCTCCTGTCCCCTGCCGATGTTACATACATCCGTCATTTGGAGCCAAAATTGAGTGTCCGTACGGCTGATAATAAAACCGTGATCAATAAACACTTTTACTTGGACTTTGCTTGTCACTTGAACTATCAATTTGTATTACTGAGGTCTGATGTACTTATTTTCATGTTTGCCTCGCCTACCACCATAACCAATTTGGTTGTTCAAACAGCTTATAAAGAAATCTCCCAGTCCGATTTGACACCTAAATCATAATTCCTGTTATGTAAACGTTTGAGCTTCACCAGAGTTTACGATGTAAGAATTCCTTACCCAGCATTCACATCTGGTCTTGATCATTCTCAGTGAAATGTCTGTTCATCAATATCGCTTACACCCCACAAACTGCAGCGCTGACTCGGTTGAAGATTAATACCATCGCCAACTGAACGATGTCCTTCGTCACAGAAGAAGTACTGGTAACGTAATGCTGGATGTACATCTAAACGCTAAAGATGGAAACTGTCTAATGTATACGTCAACTGTGTGGATAGCACAGTGTAATCCCTCGTAATGATAACGGCAAGTAGTTGATAGGCTTGAGTAAAGATGCTCGTCTGTACCTCGCGATCACAACTGAAGGTCACCGGCCCCATGTTCCCCAGAGGTTATTAGTAGCGAGTAGACTATTGTGTGCAACATCCCACAGTCAAGCTAGAGAATGAGTCTCTACACAGTTTCTGCAACTTCTCGGTGCTCTCCGACACATCCCGATCGGATGTGAACATGAAACTAGCAAAGATCTCAGGAACGAGAGACCTGGGGATGGAAATGGTCGCTACTCGTGGTAACCATCAGAAGTAATTCCACATTATAGAGGAAACAGGCAGTAGCATACCTGGTCTTAGCAAAACTATGTGGAAGAAAGAAGACAGTTTACCACAGCCTGTCGAAATGTCTGGAGCACTGAGTTGAATGATTCGAAAACCAATTTAATCAGCCAGAGCAAATAGTTTCCTTGCCCGGCAGCGACTGCCCTGCTCCATGGTCCGTTCATTTGGATCCACACCCGAGCGCAAAGCCGAGCGCAGAACAGAATTGTTGAAACTGAATAAGGTCACAGGACTGGCCTCTCTGCAAATTCTGGGGATCAGCTCTTGTAGGCGATTTATACTATTGTGAGTAGAAAACTTTCAAAAGCGATGCAGTTGATCTGTTTTAATCCAGATTTCTAATGAGGCTAAGGTTGAGAGTGCAGTCATTATAGCGTGGTCCGTTTGATCATCATCATCATCTTTGTTACTTTCCGCATTATTCACTGGCGCTTATGAAAGCCAGATTCGTGAAGAGCATGCCGAGTTTAGTCGAAAGAGATGTTGCATTGACCCCATCTAAACCATTCCCATGTTATTATGGCATCACGACTGTTATTGATGAGTCAATCCAGTCGTGTTACTAGGCATTAAAAGTGCCTTCGATTCGATGAATCGAGGTGACCAAGAGAGCTGTCAAAACATGGAAATTGCACCAATAAATAGGTAAATATCAGCGCTATACGCGTGTAGTCTGTGTAGAGTGTAGCTTTGTGATAAACTGTCACTGCCCTACAATTGCTCCAGCTATGTGAGATAAAGGTGCCCAATGTCACTGGTTCGCTCAAAATTCGCTTGTGACAAGTTCAAGCAAACTGTGCTTGTCGAAAGCAATCTAGAGGTGGGGTTGTTTCCAGGTGATCCAGTTCTCGACTTGCAGCACTCCTGTAGTGTCGACCGGGGACCGAGTGGGCTGCACTCCTGGCTTGCAATCATAAGGTCACCGATTCGAATGTGCGTAGAGGCAGGTGTCTTCGCGGTACACTCAGCCCACGCGTGACTGGTGGTGGTCGCGTGGCAGTGTAGCGTCGTTACGGCGTACAGCTGAGGATTTGCTTTACCCCTGAAGTACGCCTGGACAGTCAAACATTTCAAGATGTGCTTTTCTAACTCAAAACGGAGAGCTTTCTTGAGATGAGATGAGACCACCAGCTGCAGTGACCCTTGATAGAGCCCAGCTATAAGTCATCTAGAAAATCAACTACTTGGGCAGCTGTATCAGCGCGCCTACGCAAAAAAGATGAGGTATCGAAGTTTAAGACAGAAGTACTGGGCGCTGTAATTCGACTGCGTCAGTTATGGTGCAAGGTCATCATTCTAACCGTAGAGTAGAGATCACAATGATGACGTCCGTTCAACTCTACTATACGGCCACGGAATCTAGCTAGTCAGTTCGACAGACGTAGGGGCTAATTTAGTCCGACCACCGATGCCTTTGCAGTCCAGCTCACATCTGGAAAGAACATCGTGGGAGCCTTGAGCTCGTTCGTTGTCTTGATTTTGGCGTATGGACAGAACCGTTACTTCACATACCAGGCTCCGATAGCTGAGCCATGTCAAGTGTCAAAAAACTAACTTCTGTGCAACTGGCATGTGGGTGAGAGAATGGCAGACCAATTGATGGTAGATCAAAATTGACCTCCGCCGGTGCTTCCCGACTACATAATCAAAATCCTGAATCCGATGGACGAGTTTGTTCTGAGACGCTTGTCGACAGAACCTCAATGAAATTTGTCATGTGAGTTTATCATCTCCCCTCTCCTGCGTCGACACATCGCTGCCGCGCAACCACCAGCAGTAGCGCACGGACTAGAAATACTGAGGTCGCGCACAGCTACGCAGACTCAGATTAGGGACCGGTGGACTACAAGTCACATGCTCAAACGGTTCGGCCACCGTCATCCTTCAGCCTACCTTAAAAGCATTAACGGCGGTATCAGTTGTGGACAAGGACCTCGTAACCACGCTTGAGGACCACGCAATCGCCGGTGACTGCAGTCAAATTAGGATAGAGGGAAATTCTTCATATCAACGCAGGTATCGACAACAACACAAACGTCGCATGGCTAGAGACAGAGCGCAAACTGAAGTTGCTTTTATAGCGCAAAAAAGGGTCGGCTGATGCGGCTGGACTAGTCACTAACGAGTCGGGAAACGGGACTGTGAGTTCAGCTGGTTCGACTGACTCGTTCGTTGGCAGAAACAAAAGTTTGCCTTGAAACTGCTCCATGAACGCAAACACGACGGCTAAATCCGACTTAAAGTGATAAAGTAAGCCACGGTTAAACAGCAGACAAACTTAACAGTTTCATGGTAGCTCCCTGTCTGCACAGATGGACGGACAGCCGTCCCACTTGGGCCAAAAAGAGAATATGAAAATAAATGGTGCAATATGCCCAGATATATTGATAAATATTAGACATCGTTAGCACCGCCGTTCTTTGAATAAAAATGCTCACCTTTTAGTAAGATCGTAATTTCAGTGGCCGCAAGTGATCATTTAGGCGCCATGAGTGACCGGTTTTTATGCCTCTGGCCGTCCCAGTTGGATGCATTTTGGAAGGATTTTGGTCACTCAAAGAATTTCGGTTCAGCCGTATAGTTATAGAATTGCGTAGTTACAAGTGGGCGTCCTCGCGGTATACTCAGCCCGCGCGCGACTGGTGATGGTCGCTCGGCAGCGAACCGCCGTTACGGCGTACAGCTGACACATTATTATTAGTTACAAGTTGGGGATCGATTTCCGCTTATTGTTGACGGTATTTGCAAAAAGGACAAAATGCATTCACAGTATATGTTAAGGGTGCGCTGGAAACAATTTTCTGACTAACCGAAATTCGTCCCAAATGCATCCAAATGGGACGGCCAAGGGTATAAAAATGGTCAATCATGGCGCTCCAACGGTCAATTCAGTGGACATTTTTCGGTCACTCATGTTAGGTGGGCTTCCAAATGACAAGCGAATTGCAGATCCGAGATTGGATCATTTAGTCATTTTACTCAAAAACTCAGAGCAATATTCAACCTACGCTTCGGATAAGCTGTTCTCACGGCACATGTATGTAAACATCACCCCTGAAGAATGATGGAGACCTTGACCAAATGCTGCATAATATGATTGAGATTGTCAAAACCCATCCACAAGTGGGTGACTTAAACAAACCGTAGCCAACATCAGCAAACCGCAATGAAAACCATGTGAAGTAATAAGAGAGCGCCGAATACATGAAGGGGAGTAGACATGGAAAAATGTTGTGCACGAGAAGACCATGATGTCTAAACGCAATGAGAACTATGGGACAAACAACTGTATGGGCACTATAAAGGACTTCAGTGGTAGCTAGGTGCTAATCGCTGCAAACATTGCACTCTATAATCAGTTTTGTGATTTACACGCTCTTCGTCTAGAGGACCAAACTGGAAATAGAATTGCGGGCACAGGAGATCGTCGGTTGATATTTTTAATTTTATATTGCCCTGTTCGGCATAAAAGGTTTGCTACAATGGTTAGAGGCTTTTAGTTGGTCAGATTGGGAGTGCCCGTTGAGTAGCGGGATTGGGAAGGCTCCTCACTTGTAGATAAAGCTCAGCTACTTTGGTCAATGGTACAGTATATGAAATAGATAAACGTTGATACTAGGCAGCTAACATTACGAAAAAAGCGGGAGAAATCAAGTTGCAGTCTTAATGTAGTATGATCAAAACCGAAAAGGAGAGGATATTAGAGGATGAACGAAGACACGGGACATATACATACAAATTGGTAGCCAGTATTAAAAGGTAGCCAAAGTCACTGGGTAATTGGAAAAGTGCTTCGAAGCAAAAAAAAACCCACAAGTAACTCACCGGTACAGATGATGCGTCAGGAACCGAGTATTCATCTGCAGTGAACCTCCCCTCTGCTATTTTCCAGAGATAATCGGATTCGTTAAAATCCCCGCAGAGAACAGCATCAATGACCTCATCAATTGTGTCACAACGATTCGTGCCAGGTTGATGAGCAGCGAGAACAGTTCTGGTATGGTCATCAGGTCCATTCAAACCAGTCAGTACACCCAAAGAAGATAGTCCAGTGACACTGTCATCCGCATTGTGGTCCAACTGCCGCTTACCAACCGAATCAGGGTTCGCCTCGGATGGACCAAATGTGCCTGAAGTGCTCGTGTTGATATCCTTGCGTACTGTAGGAACGACGCGATGAGCATCATGGCTTGCGGTGACTACTGATACCTTGGATAGACGCACAACACTTGTGGTCGAAGGCGATAACGAGACTACGTCCGGAGAACAGGATGGTGAGCCAGCAGCAGATGTGACAGCTAATGTGGATGAGAGGGAAGAAGCTGAGCATGTGGTAATGGTGGATATAACAACTGGCATTAGGGTAGTTGCCATCACAGCCTTCTTCTGTCGTTTGGCCTTTTCCTTGTGGTGCGTCACCTCCTCATCCTTTTCTTGCTTCACACGCTCAATGACACGCTGAACATATGAAGTAAAGTCCGATGGATCGAATGTAGTATTACCAGAAGGAGCGGTCAGAGAAGCTGTGAAAGGACCGGAGGGTTGTGACTCAGTTGTGGACGTCGTTGGAGGAGCAGAAGACAGAGAATCGGTGGAAACGATCCGTAAGAGAGATGTACAAGATCTATCCGATCCATGAGCGACATCGTGTTCCCCTCGTTTTAAGTATAGATTAGCCACCGTGGTCGAAGCGGGCAGAACACACAGGGGTGAGGCGTAGGCAGTGGATACGCTTCCATTATACACAATTGTTGGTGATGTGTAAAGTGTGGCAGATGGGTTCGTCGTCGTCAGCAAGGGTGGACCAACCGATGAAGGTGAAGCAGGGAAAAGTAGAGCAACATGACGCTGATTAGTAGGTAAAGAGCTATTTTTTGTTCCAGAACAAGGGGGAAGAGTGGCCGGCAGAATAGTGACGCTCGGTGGTGTAAAAGCCACACTCGAAGTGGATCTAGGAACTGCAACTAAAACAGGCTGTGGAAACAAAGAAGGCTCATTGCTCTGGTTGTTTGAACTCAAAACTGTTAGTGGAGCCAGTTGTGAAGAAGCTAAGGTCACAGAAGGTAACTGAGTATTTGGTGTACACATACTGGAATCAGGAGAACCAGCAGATACGAAACTCTGGGCGCTTAAAGGTGGATGTGAAAGATCCCGCGTCGCACAGGGCTTAAGATCTTCGGAATCCACTGCAGAAGATGGGGTCGAAGCTGGTTTGTTTGGGATGCCACACTCTGCATCATGAGGATTGAAGCCCCCTAAACAATGTTGATCAGCGACAGGCACTTCAAGTGTGTCATAAACCACCTCTTCAATCACATCCGATTGCAAAACAGCACCCGTTGTATGTGTAGCATCCAAAGCAAGAGAAGGGGGCGAAAGAGCGTCGTCTAATGCCGAAACCACAGGTGGAGGAAGATCGTCATCATTGAGCACATGGGAGCCACGCCGCACTGGGTCAATGCTATCATTCAGCAATATGGAGCCGGGGTCCGGTTTGATGGATTCCTCGTCATCGTGCTTCTCCAATGACGGTAATTCGTCATCAAACTCCAATGGGGGTTTTTCAAGACCCAGCCCATCATTTGATAATAGACTACCGGAATGAACAGGTAAACAGTTCGAAGTGTCGGATTGTTTCTTTGGGGTCGAATGATTGGCAAGCGATGCGAAAATATTCCAGCCGCGTTCACGAGTACCGTTGTCTTTCTCGAGAAGCAGATGGGCTCCCGGACTGGAATCAAACATAAGCAACGTGGGTGGTGTCTGCTTAGTATCGACAGAACTAGAGCTTATTGGACTTTTATTCCGGGATGTATCAAGAGATGTTGTGCATTTTAGAGGGTTCGACGACTCCTTGAGACGTTGCTTCGTCGGAGAAGTGAAGGCTCCAAAAGTATGCCGAACAGCAGCATCAGCCCCCAGATCATCAGGACTGCAAGAACGGCTGGCAGGCGGGCTGACAGAATCGGAGGAGGAGGAATTGAGTCGGTGTTGAACAGGAGAACAAGGAGAAGAGGGATTGCCAATTTTGTTGGCGCCGCAAACAGTGGGCACTCCTCCATCTGAGTCAGAAGTTGAAACCGAGGATGTATCGGAGTCAGTGGAAGCAAAGACAAGTCGCACGAGATCACGACGGTGATCACTAGAAAAAGCAGCTGTATGTTGAGTGTTTGAAGGAGGAAACCGTCGTGTACCTCCATTAGTTTTGCACCTCTTAGTTGCAAAATTTCCTCGGCGATTGCCAGTTACCACAGTGGGATGAGAAGAGGATTGACTGGAAACCAAAGGCGACTGGGTATACTGTTTCGCACGGTTAGGAACGCGCTTTCCCCGAGTAAGCTTCCGACTGGATATCAACTCACCATAACTAGTTTCGTGAGATGTGTCAGGTAAGTTTTTAACTCTTCTTTGAGGCTTGTTACTAGCTGAGTTCAGGACCGTACATTTCCTTTTCCGCTTGTGTCCAGTAACACGCTTAGAAGTTTGACCTGTTGATTTGTTCGTCCGTGTAGACTGCAAGGATTTCGTATCAGAGAGTGCTGGAGAATCAGGGGCAGACTGTGAGTTCAGTGATTGGGCCGAAGCGTCGCTTAAGCATTCATCCGTGCCAGAATCATCCGCAGAACACTGGGAAGGTGCGCTCTTTTTCTGACTGGGTCGTCCCCTTGCCGATTTCGTGCGTTTTATTGTTGATTGATGCAAGTCATCCGAAATTCTAGAAAGTGAAGAACATTTGCTAGCACGGCGCTTTATTTTATCGTACATCGATTCATAGCCCGTTTCCTGAGAGACCACAGGTTCCGATGAGGCTTTGGTGGTAGAATCAGCATCGGAAGAAGTGTTATTCGAGGCCAATTCGCGACAGTTGTGAATAACCTTTCTAGCAGCAGAGTTCTTTTTTACGCGCTTTCCCTTGGCTGTAACAGTGGCAGACTTCTTGCTGGCGTTGTTCACCGGTCGGGGACTTGAAGGTGGTGCCTCCAATGAAGGCAAACATTTAGATCGTTTAGCAGTTACTGATTGCAGTCGTCTGGCTGCATCATCTTGCACATTCTTTGACTTTCGGTTTCCGGGAATGAACTGAGTTTTACGATTCTCTACTGCATCCTGCGGCACGCGAGAGCAATTGGACGTCGATGCGTTGGTGTTTCGTCCAGACGATTCGCCATGCATACACTTCGACCTGTCCTTTTTGACGTCCGTTCCTGCACAAGCGGCTTTAAAGATGGAATCATCTAGTGTCGGCCTAGGAATGTCCGATTTTAAAACCTTGGAATTCGCAGCTCGTGACAGCTCAGGTTTCACAGCGCATGTTTTTAACTTGACAAGGGTAACACACGTTGGAGAAGGTTTCGTACTCTCCGAGTGCAGTGGACGAACCTGTGTCTCCGACATTTCACCATCACACCTCAGTGACTTTTGATTGGAGATTCTTGAAAGTATGGGATCCGGAACCTTGGGAATTTTAGATTCCGTGACTTCGAGCGGGTGCTTGGTGGCTACTTGAGCAGTAGATTCATCAAGAGCGGATTTCCCACCTGGCTCCGGATCAGGCTGACTTAGGTTAAAGGAAGTAGTCTCACGTTTTAAGATCGATTTGAGCGGAGGGTCCCTCAACTCTGTATTGATCGAAGCGCTAACTTTAGACTCAGTGACAGGGAATTTAGGCAGTGACACTGAAACAAGCCCAGCATCCGCATCGCAGGCCTTGAGGTCCACCTTGCGTGTCACGGAGGGTACAGGTGGCAAACGTGTAGCGACACCAATCGGTTGTGTTCCGCTGAGTGAACTGTAGCCAACACTACATGAGGGTGGCAGGTAAGAATGCGGGGTAGCAAAAGAGCGTGTACCAAGCGAGGAGTTCAAAGAGTGACAAGAGTTTGAGAGTGAGGCGGACCTATCCACATGGTCATAAGTAGAAGATGCCAAAGAGGTTCTCGTGGTGATTACAGGGTATCGAGACAGAGTAGATCGATTGCTGGAATTCGGATCACGAGACGCAAGTTGATCGGATATCGGAGCGGATGGGGATGGCTTCGAGAGGGACAACATGTTTTTGACAAACTCTGACGTGTCTGCAGGTCGGATAGTGGACAACGGAGAGGTGGGTCCATGAATGTTGGGAGAGGTTGATGCAGATGTGTTTGGGTTGATCATAATGGATGACGTACTCTCGTCTGCAATCGATGCACACTCAAATAGTGTGCGCTTAAAAGTGCTAAGTGAGACTGTGGATAGGCCACAGTGAACAGGATCGTCTGAGCACGAAGATGTCAAGGGAGAACTGTAGCTTACTGAGATGGACGACGTAGACGAATGGCCGGATTGGATAGGAACAGGCGTAGTCTCTGTTTTACGCTTGATCCGGAATTTACTGTAGTCCACTGCGGGACGGGCTTTTTCTGATCTTAATAGCTGTGCATCTAGAAGCCGAATACGCTCATCTAAGGAGCAAGCAGAGGTTTCGAGGGAAGATGCTTCCAGCTCGGAATCCGCACCGCTGTTGTCAGCACAGCTAATCCGGTCAATTTTACTAGATGTTGTTTTCACTGAGGAACATGTCAAAGTGCTTGAAGCAGTGAAATCATTTCGAGTGGTATCCGCCCGTAAGCTGATTTGCAAACTGTCGAGTGGTAATGGAGGAGAAGGAAGAGGCGGAGGTGGTGGAGGTGGCGGCGGCGGCGGAGGTGGCGGGGGTGGTGGAGGTGGTGCAACAGTGCACATAGCCTCATCCAAGTGCGCAAGAAGGCGGGGATCTCGAGTCACAGGGATGGGTTCGGAGGGTACGCTGGGAGAAGCCGTGACCCTTTTGTTGAACGAAGCCGTGGTACTAAGAGAGTGATTACCTGGTACCACATTTTTCAGCGAAGTAATATTGAACATTGGAGTGTCACTAGGTGATGGCGAATGGGATAATAAACAATTCAATGGTGAAGTCGGCTCCGGCGGCATGATAATACGTGGTGAAGAAGAGATAATCGCTGGTCGACGAGACGGAGAATCAGCCGAAATTACGGTGGCGGAAGATGGGTCGCTATTCCTGTGGCCCGGATGAGTTTTGGTCTCAATAGTCGTGAGCGATTTGTTTAAAAAGGAGGAAAGTTCAAGGTGATTCTGCCCCGCAGCGTAGACCAAATCACTCAGCTCACTGCCGCTGCTACTGTAACCATTACATGGATAAAAAGAAACAGGTAAACTCGTGTTCCGAGGATGCGGCTGATCGCATCTGGTGCCATGAGAATCTGTCCTTCCGTTTGTTTCTCGGAAATTGATAAGCTGAGCATCCTTGGCCGGAGTACGCTGAGAGGCTGTAGTTGTAACAATACAGACGTCATCAGACTTGACAGTACCGCTCACCGAAGGATTATCGCCTCGTCTGAAATGAACAAAAAGAATAGATGGAGTGGGTACAACTCACCAAGCGGAAAGCGTGTGAGCCCAAAATCATTGATAATAATTCGGAGAACGAATCGTTAAATCATGCAGCGGAAAAGGGTGAAAAATGTGTTATGACTATCGGGTAATAGGGGCCAACAGTCAAAACACAAGAAAGATACAAATGTGATGAATACTTTCATGTTTCTAAGCCTTATCGCCGCATGTCAGTCAAGCGACTCTATTCAAGCAAGCTGTTCGGTGCGTAGAGAGTACGATCGAAATAGCGTAGCCGAGTGGTGATTTACAGATGGTGCAATGTGTCTTTAAAGCCGGAAGCCAAACACCAACAAGAGTTACGCGATGTTTCCACCAATTCAGAACAACGAAAACATATAGCAATAATAAGGCTAAAAGTAAAATCGCGGTAAGGTACTCGGGTACAACAATAGTTCAGGCACCTAATCAAGATCCAGTGAAGATGTAAAAGCTGAAAATAGTTTAGCAATGCATCCTGCTATAGATAAGGAGGATAGGAGGACAACAATGTGGGAATGTGATACATGTGGCACCCACGACGCATTTGGGCGAAACAGCATTCAAATTGAATAACAACAAAAAGATCAGCTAATGCGACCAATTAAGAGGAGGGAAACGCGTGCCATGCATATATTAGGAAGCAAATATTTCGAAGCCAATGGAAATGTGGCAGCTAAGTGACCAAAAGAACAAAATGGTTTATGATTGATGCAGACCTTAATCAGACAGATCAAAAAAGTGTGGTGGTCAGAGCGAAGCAGGTGATCCAGTCATAGGATGTCAGTTGCAGTTGAAAGGCGAAGACTGAAGTTACAGACAAAAGGTTCTGAACGTTGCCAACTATACATTCAGAGGGAAAGTTAAGTGTAAGAAAAAGGACTCTGTAGCGAAGGAGGAACTAAACTATCCTAGACCTAGCAATTCGCATAACGGTTGCAGTTGTCAACCTCTCGTGTGTCACTTTTACTAATCTAATCTCATAAGCAAAAGCAGTGCATCAGACATCTCAGGAAGTGAACCGACCAGTGCTAGTTCGACGGAGCTATACGTCACAAGGCGAGTCCCCAGGCTAAGGATCGGGAAACGCCATTCTTGCGATGTTAACTGAATACCTCTCAGAAGCTCATAGACAAGATAAATAAACAGTTGTGAAAAAATCAGTGGGAGCGTCTCAGAGTGGCCGGGCTGGTCACTCGTAACCTCACAACAGACCACAAGAACTGGCTAGATGTCGTATCAAAGCCTATGTGAACGGCTATAGGGTTACTCACCAAAACAACAGCAGTATAATCATTGGAGCTCATGCTTCGTAGCCGCACAACCATGGTGACCAAAGAGAATAATAAGAGGAAGAAAAGAGGGACGCCGTGCAAAATCTTAAAGCCCTAAATATTCAGCGTCAAGTCGCACACCTTGACAAACCCATTGTCACAAAGAGCTGCAAGCATAAGACAGCATCCCTGAGACAGTTTTCCGCACATTTCACTGTCCCGTGTCATAGTCGGCCAGTACCCGCAGATAACCCAACACAACACACTTTAAACAGACAGCCCAGGTAGGGGACGACAGCATTCACGCCACCGGTGCCGACTGCGAGTCATGCTATGCAACATTTTGAGATAAGCGCAAGACGTGTCAAGTGCATTAAGCGTGGAAAGTAAAACGGATCAACAGCATCAAGTTTCGTAGTCGCTGACTCATTTCCTGCTGCCCAGTCAACTTTTGTCTACCTAAATAGAGCGTTGCGCCACCCAACAACTAGCAAGCAAAACAAGGTCCTACTCGATAAGCGGTGACTGGGTATACGTAACACGTGTACAAGCCAACGCAACTTATTCAGTGCTCTGTTGTTCTAAGGAAATAGGCTGGATATCACTGCCTAGTACTCGCTTACGAACATCGTCCTTGTGGGCATGTTGATACCTCCCGACACCAGCAATGCTTCGCAGGCAGCGATGATCAAAGACTCCAAGGCGTCGCAGGTCCTCATATCGGAGGGGCTAAGCCTCGCTTCCATAGAGTAGGACAGGTCTCATTGTGGCAATGTATACACGACCATTTAGACGGGGAAAATATCCATTTCTGTCATCACAGAAGTCACAGATTAAAGTAGGTAATTCTGGCTTTTGTAATACGTGAACTGACTTCAATGTTAATGGGCCCATTGTTGCTGATGCAGCTGCCAAGACAAGTTAATGGATCAACTATCTCCAGTCCCTCGATAACAAGATTCAAGGGGTGATCAAGTGGCCGGTGGTCCCGTAACAGCTCGGCACTTTGAAGGTGCGAAGCGAATACCAAATAATGGGACCACCCAAGAGATGTTATGATGCAGTCCAGGAAGAAGTTGAAGAAAACTAGAGAAACTGGACAACCCTAACGAACGCCAATTGTTGTCAGAAAAGTATCCGATAAATCAGAATAGACCCTGACGCGGCCCGTAGTGTTCGAGTACAGCACATAAAATGTTCACATATTTCATGGGAACACCTTTCTCCACAAGCATTTCGAATACAATGCATCGGTCGACTGGGTCAAACGCACTCTTGAAATCGAGGAACACAGCTATTATTGGCCTGCGGTACGTGGAGCACTGCGCTAGCACCTGCCGCATACGTGGTTAATACAGCCCCGTCTAGGGCGGAAGCCTGCTTGCTCTTTCCTAATATGGGATTCTCGCTCCGCAGTGAGACGACAAACGAGAATTGAGGCCAGTAATTTTGTCACTACCGGCATTAGGCTAGTGCTTCGGTGGTTAACAGTCGGTGCGACTGCCACGCCTGCATGTTGCACCTACAACAATTGATGCGCTTCAAGTAGCTTGGATAGTCTCTCCCTTCCAGATCTGCTCGAACAGGGCCAGTGATTTGCAGAGGACCTCAACATTACCTTGATATAATGCGGGTGGCAGGGAATCCGGGCTAGCAGCACGAAAACTATTAAGAGCTGTGATCGCGTTGCGGCCCTCTGCCTCTGATGGAGCCTCTAACCGGCCATGGCGCAGCCAGTATCACTTGAGTAGGAAAGGGTCCGGAAAAATGGGCCAACTGATGTGATCTCCAAGTGCTCCGCTGCGCTGCCTCTGATAGTCTCACTGACGCCTGGTTTCTTGGGAAAAGCTGAATCAGTTAGCGATAATTGGCTACTACTGCTTCCGCTATTTTCTTCGCCCTACTTGTCCAACAAACTTCCTTGTTAGTGCGCAGGCTCCACTTTAGTTCGTGCCTAATAGTCCGCCTAGTTGCACTCTGCTCAGAGCCAGTCGGGAGCTCTTTCTGCATTAAAACAGATCCACCGACCTCTCAGATATCTAGAGTGTCCGGTGCGGTGACAAGTGATAGCGCTGCAAACAGAAGATCATGCGACACACATGACAGCAGAGATCGTACTCCACTGAAGCTCAAAATCATTAGGACAAGAGAACGAAAGTTCGGTACGCAGGGCATCCTTGCAGGCTTGTCTGACCGGAGACTGCGGTAAATTCTCAGTTGCCAATCAAGGGAGACGCTTGGTGCGCCTCTCGATAAAGTTCATGGATAAACAACAGCGTCACAAGGCATGATCAGAATTGACGCAAGTACTCCAGAATGAGCGACAATCCAGGATGGAACCACGCAATGTGATCTATTTGGGCCCACCATTGATCAGCTATAGAGTGACGCCAAGTGGCACTTCAGGGCCCACTGAGAAACAACCGTTGCTCTGCGCACAGTTACAACAGACGCTTGCCGTTGTTCGTCCGTTCACAGTTAAGGCCATACTTACCCCCTAGCTAAGCTTCTGAAGAGCTCAGGCGATCTATTTGTACAAAGACGATGATATATGAACTGGTAACACTGGTTAGCAGCGTGCTCAATTCGTGACGTGTGTCCTTGGCAGCATCAAAAGTGCGGTCGGAAACCACAGAAAAACAGCGCCTAGTGCTACTACGTGAATCAACCTTAGCTGATGTAGTCAGACGGCTGCTCACGGGAGTATGCCTTAGAGCTGCGAAAAATGTCCACACTAACTTGATCAGTGGTTACCCCATCAGCGTCTCCGGATACGTGCAACCAACAGCGAGAGGACAAGCCAGGCGCAGTTAACTCAACAACCCATTGATGAACAATGAAGTTAGTTTTGGACACAACACACGTCAATACCCAACGAGTCTAACATGTGTGCGAGTTCAGCCTGTTGACCGGTTTGTCTTGGGGTGCGAACTATGAACGCCACCAGGACGAGATAGCACGGCCTTATAAGGGGCTGTTGATAATGGGCGTCCAGTGGGTGGTGCGGGAAGACAGTTACAAATGGTATGACTCCAGTGACACTGCGGATGCTGTCAATTAAACTGGGAATTATAAAACGCTAGTAATGCGGACTGGGAGGGAGTAAGAGAAAGGAAAGCGCCAACAGTAGCATGTTTTCTCTAATCCGCCCTGCTGTATGCAGCAAAAGAGGCGACCCTTGATAAGTTACGCGACCGCCGATGCAGGATGTGGCTGATGTTTAAGGAAATAGTCATAGTGGTAGGTGTGATTGCAACGTTTACCAGTGTGGCTGCTGATAGTCGCATCTGTTGTTGCCGGAACAATTGTAGGTGGAATGATCGCTCTGTGTGTGCAAATAACCGTTTGTTTCACTGAGCACATCGCGTCGCCCCCTCCTACGGATGTGCCCAACGAAATGACGTCATTTTTCACCGAGAACCAGCAAGATCGACGTCATTTGTTGCTTCTCGACATTTTCGACTTCGGCCCATCGTTTTCGTCCGCCCTCTCCAAAGTGGTTAGTTCAACATGTTTTTATCTGTGCGTGTACCGAACAAATCATCAAATCAATCAAATGCTCACACACTCAGCATAGACTGTCCACACGTATGCACGTGAATGTGTCTGTCTGTCCGTCTGTCGCCCACACATTTGGCCACAACCACGTGGTCCATGCGCCCGTATGTGGTAGTTTTAAGATGACGCCCGG